ATTGTAGAGTGGCCAAAGGCCACTCTAATGAGTGAATTATTTACTCAGTAGTTTGAATGAATAGTAACTTTATTAAATATAAAATAGATTTAAACGTGGTGAGTACTGGATCCAGAATCTTTATACATAGTTGTTACAATGAGCTTATATAACATGTTTACAGGATGTTAACAAGGTTGATTACTCATATGTAAATCATGTAGTTGTTTTAACGACTACATTACTCACCCTGAACAAATTTTAGCAAAAATGTTTAACAATAATATTTTTGATTAAAACCAATTAAGAAATTGTTACATAAATATTGAATCATAATATTTACATTAAACACAACGTAATCTGAAACATACTGTTATTATTAATGAAGTTATCTTATTTTTATATTTGTTTTATAGTTCAATTGAAAAGTCTTTTGTAAATACTGATTAACGTACATTTAAGAAACGCTATTATTTAACTATTTAAAATTTATAATTGATGTCATCTTGATGCTTATTAAGTGCTCAAATTTTAACTTTAAACAAGGACCGTATATTTTGCACCAAATTATATTATTCTCATTATTCTCATTAGTTTCATTATTTGTTGCCCGTATTACTCGTAATTATTATTATTAGATTCCTTATTATTGTTACTTATGGTCACAAATTTTTATACCTTATTATTCATTATGTTGAACTAAATAAAAGCATTACCTCAATCATTCATAAATTCAATAATTAACACTTATTTTAAATCTCCTCATATTCTATTCTATTACTCAATTTTAAATTCAAATAAAACCAACTTGATAAAATGTTTTAACAACAAATATTAATTTTAAATTTAGCATGTTTAAACTACTAATTTAGACAAAATTAATGTAAATAAAATCATAATTGTTTTAAGCATAATTCTAAACAAGCTAAAGGAAAAATTATAAAATAGCATAATTGAAAATTGTTGTGTAGTTGTGTTGTGTAATAAATTGTGTAAACAGAATGTGGGTTGTTTTACATTAATTATTTTCCACAAAGACAGTAAAGTATTGCAACAAATTTATATATCATAAACAATATATCATGTTAAATTATATGTAGATTTTTATGACTAACAATATTGATGATTAATTCATTTAGTATTCTTTCCAAATTACTTCAGCTATTTTAAATTAACAATTAATATCATTTTAATGCTCATTAAATGCTCTGAATTATAGTCTATAACAGGGCTTACATTTGACACCAAATTATATCATATTATTTATTTAATAACTTTATTTAAATGCCTGTATTATATTAATCATTATTTTACCGTATATATGCCCATTATTATTACTTGTAATTATTAAAATCATTGAATTCTGAAGCTTAAAATACACATTTACCTCAATTAGTTGTAAGTTAAATAGCTAAACATAAATATAAAATCTTGCCATTTTCAAATAATTAATCAATATTAGATTTAAACTTGAACATGATATACCGTTTTTACAAACATATACGATATGGAAAATTAGAAAACTTTATGTTATTCTCAGATATATAAAATATATTAGAAGTGTAATAATTATATTTAAATATTTTAGCCAAATTATAAATTTTGATAAGCAATAATTAGCAATATAAATGATTGTGTTAAAATAATGTGTAAAATTAATCTATTGTAGGTTAAAGTTTAAGCGTAAATATAAAATTATGTAATTGAAAATAAAATAGTAATTTAATATATAATATTTTAGCAAGAATAGTGTTTTAAAAAAGTTACTTAAAATTAATGATGAAAGTAGTTTTGGCCAAACGAGACAACCATTATCTTCTCACCACTGAAAAGTTGCTTGCGATGATAGCGTGACCAAAGTTCAAGTTCGGGTAACGCTCATAATCTTCCCATTTCTCGACAGAACTTTAGATAATAGGGTGACCATAATCTTGACAACGGATAACACTTTATATACCATATTTACGGAGGTTTTTCAGGTTCGATTAGGCCAGTAAGGCCACTGCTTTGGCTCGCCATTGTAGAGTGGCCAAAGGCCACTCTAATGAGTGAATTATTTACTCAGTAGTTTGAATGAATAGTAACTTTATTAAATATAAAATAGATTTAAACGTGGTGAGTACTGGATCCAGAATCTTTATACATAATGTAGAGTGGCCAAAGGCCACTCTAATGAGTGAATTATTTACTCAGTAGTTTGAATGAATAGTAACTTTATTAAATATAAAATAGATTTAATGCACCACTCATGACCTAGGTCTTAGAAATATGTATCAACAATGTTACTCGAATATATTGTACAAATGTCCTACAATTGTTCCAACTAATGAGTATACATTTAGTACATCAACAAAATTGCTGATGTATACTACTCTTGTGTGTTGTATTACTTAATGAGTTTATTTGATTCAGATATTTTGAATTCGTGGGAAAGTTTGATCCGAAGAGTACATTATACCAGTCGATACCACCGTCTGTGGCCATAACAAATTGTCCCAAAGCTGACCACTTATCGGTCGCCTCTGAATATTTGCCATTCTTTAGAGCAGTTCTTATCTCTTCGGCTTTGGCATCGATTTCACTCTTTTGTTGTCTATCGATGTATGACTTCATAAAACAATGGTAATTAAAAAATAAAATAATAAAATGAATTTTTATGGCATACATACCAATGTGTAAAGATACTGTCCCCACGTGGTCACCGAGTCTATGGGTGAGACCCATCCGTCGCCCAACGCAATGCCCTTGAAATTGGCCTTGATCTCTTTGTTTTGAATGGCCCGATGCAGCTCTTTGGCAAAAGTTGGTGTCATTTTACCGCCGTATGACTCGCAGAAGATATACAATGGCGTCGACTGAAAATGAAGTAACGATGTGTTATAGCTATTTTTGTAACGAATAAAATTAATTATATTTTTACCTCAAATTCTGGCGATTTCTTATAGAATTCTTTCATAAAAGTGACCAAATCTTTGGCGATCTCATCGTTATTCTTGGTTAAGAGACTACTGTTGTCGACATAACTATATCCCGCGCCCACAGGATTGTCAATGAATAACAGATTCGCGTATTTAATCCATGAAGTGTTTCTCACTCTCATATTCGTGTCTAACGGTCCGATTTCTTCAAAATTTCCAAACCCGGCAGAACTCGCACCCGGACCTCCTGTTCACCAATACATTGACAATAGTTTTAATTATTGATTATTTTTAATTGTAATCAATGGACAAACCCTGAAGCCATATAACCAGCGGAAATGCATTGGAGTTATTGCTAGTATTGGGTGAAAAAAGCCATGAAAACATGTGAGCGCCCGGACGTACAGTTGTATAACCGTATGACTCCTTATATGCGTCCACTTTATGACATCAAATATATAAATATTATAATTATTAAGTAAATTACTGTCACGTGTTGTAAGAATATTCTTACCATTAGTTATGCACAAAACGTACGCCAAAAACACAAACGAAAATAATTTAATAAACATTTTAATGTTTTGATAAATAAATACACAAAACTCAAAATTGCTAAATGAATAATTATTTTGTTCAAACAAATCTATATATATAGTCCAAGATTGGTGGACCATATGCACTGACCGGCTGATGGTATTACATATTAATCTACAAATTGGTAAGTTTTGTATTTGATAACATTTGCTTAAGCTTAAGCATAGTGGAAGTTAATTTTCCTAATTTTTAACATTTTATAGAAATTCTCGGTAAATATTTACCAATATAAAGTATACATTATTAAATGTACAAAATATTTTAAAATGTGTAAATTTTCGCTAGTAATTTACTATTTGGAAAACTGTGTTATATTTCTTTTTTATCGATTACTTTCAATTGTTTTTACATTATTATCAATTTATTTCTGATAGTCCTTTGAATTGAGCAATACTGTACCATATACACTACAACTTATTATAAAGTATTATAAAGGTACATTATTTCTTAATACTATTTAGTAGATTAGTATTAAGTGTATAAGGTGCATGTTTGCACATCTAATAATTTAATTCAAAATGTGACAACTTAAAATATATCTGAAAATGATAACTAGTTAATTGCAAACGGAGTTAATTTTTATATTAATGAATTCATTTTGTTTTGAAACATATTTAGTCCACAAATCCTTTAATTACCATTTTTCAATATAAATCTGTATTTTGGTTATTAATATTACTTTTAAATTAATGGGATAACTGTGTAATTTCACAAAACCACAATTTTAAATTTGAGTTGCTGTTAAAAAAATATTATACAGTATACTGTAAAATAATAAAATGCTATAATGTGCATAAAGTTTGCAAAATATATTTGAACAAATTTTACTTTCTTAATTACTTTACACGGCATTAAACTATATTTAGAAAACATTAATTGTTTGTATTTATTTTAATGCATAAGTTTTTGTAATTACTCTGTACAGTATTGAATAACAAGATAAAAATAAAATATTCAAAAACTTGATTATTTTAATGAGAATAATATACTGTAGTGATATTTTAATTAGATAAACACAAAAAATAATAACATAATTTTAGGATACGTTTAATTTATTATGACATTAAAATGATATAAATATAATTATAATAATATAACAATTGATTATAATTCTATATAATAATTAAATATGATCAATTACAATAAGCAGTTTATGGGTATTTAATTCAGTTAACAATCTATTACTGAATAATTTTGCGAAGCATTTCGAGGCCAGTGTCGCCGGCGTCTGCGGGAACCATATGTCCGGCCTTAAGAATCCAATACAACGTGAAATTTTTGTATGTCTTAACGTAACCGCCGCTCATCTGTTCCCTCTTTGCTGTCTCCCAGTTCTTCAGGTCTGGCCATTGGAGTGAATGAACCCAATTGAGTGTTCCTAATGTGTCGACCACTAAATCCAATTGACCCGTATATACAACCACTTTGAGATCAGTGTTGGCCAACAGGTAGTCCACATCACTGACTATATCGCGCATGAATTCTCCCCATAAGTTGGCAAAAACATTGGCCGACAATTGACTCCATTTGACACTCTCTGGGATTCTATACATACAATAGTAATGTATCACAAACTTATCACATGTTTGTATTGATGATAATTACTCACTTAAGTTTTGTCTTAAGAGGTCCGTTCATTAATGCGTCCAAATTATTGTTATGATATTTGGCCAAATGTCTAACAATACTACTTTTGTGTGGTATGTTATCAAATGATTTGATTTGATTCAGATATCTTGAACTCGATTGAAAATTTGATCCAAAGAGTACATTATACCAGTCGATACCGCCGTCGAGGGATCTGATAAAAGGGGTCAATTGTGACCACTGAGTGGTTGCCTCAATGTATTTGGCATTCTTAAGAGAGGTTCTGATCTCTTCTACTTTGGCATCGATTTGATTCTTTTGGTTTCTATCGATGTATGACTTTATAAAACAAATAATTAAAAATAAAGTGATTTAATATAATGTGTTGTAAACATACCAAAGTGTAGAGATACTGTGCCCACGTCCCCACCGAGTCTATGGGTGAGACCCATCCGTCGCCCAACGCAATGCCCTTGAAATTGGCCTTGATCTCTTTGTTCTGAATGGCCCGATGCAGCTCTTTGGCAAAAGTTGGAGTCATTTTACCGCCGTATGACTCGCAGAAGATATACAATGGCGTTGACTGGGATTCAAATATCAGATTTTGTTATATTTATTTGTAATGAATTAAATCAATAATATTTTTACCTCAAATTCTGGCGACTTTTTGTAGAATTCTTTCATAAAAGTTACTAAATCTTTGGCGATCTCATCGTTAGTCTTGGTGTAGAGACTTGCGTTGTCGACATAACTATATCCCGAACCCACGGGATTGTCAATGAATAGCAGATTTGCGTATTTAATCCATGAAGTGTTTCTCACTTTTAGATCTGCGTCTAACGGACCGATTTCATTGAAGTTTCCATAACCGGCAGAACTCGCACCCGGACCTCCTGTTTAGCAATTCATTTATCATTTATTTAATTATTGATTATTTAAAAATTGCATTCAATATTCAAACCCTGAAGCCATATAACGAGCGGAAGTGCATTAGAATTATTGCCAGAATTGGGTGAGAAAAGCCACGAAAACATGTGAGCGCCCGGACGTACAGTTGTATAACCGTATGACTCCTTATATGCTTCCACTTTATTTCGTAAGTATAACAGAAAATATAAATAATTATCAAATTTACTGAAATTAGTGTTACGTATTGTAAAAATATTCTTACCATTAGTTATGCACAAAATGTACGCTAAAAATACAAACGAAAATAATTTAATAAACATTTTTAATGTTAATTTCTAAATACACAAAATTAAAAAAATTCTGAACGAATAATTGTTTTGTTGAATCAAATCAATATATACTCTTGGATTCGTGGACCATATGCACTGATAGGCTGATAGGTTTACACGTTATGAGAATCTATAATATGGTAAGTTTGATATCTGATTCAGTTATTAAGCTTGAAAATAAAGAAAATTGTTTTGATTTTATCAGGATTTAACTTATAGATTCTATAATATAGAAACTCAAGTTAACTATTTCCCAATATTTACCTTATTAAATGTGAAAAAGACTTTGAAATGTCGATACTTTATCGTTAAAATAGCTGATATTTTCAATTGTTTTTTAAATCAATGTCAAGTAATTTTTGATATCAAGTTAACTATTTCCCAATATTTACCTTATTAAATGTGAAAAAGACTTTGAAATGTCGATACTTTATCGTTAAAATAGCTGATATTTTCAATTGTTTTTTAAATCAATGTCAAGTAATTTTTGATAAACCTTTGGATTCAGCAATACTGTACCACAAGTACTGTATTATAGTGCATTATTTCTACTAATATCTAATAGATTATTATTAAGTCAATTAATAAGTGTATCAGGTATATGATTGCAAATTTAATAATACAGTTCAAAATGCCATATCATATAAAATAGTTTTAAAATGTTAATTAATTAATTGTAAACAACGTTATTTTTTATATAATTAATTATCAATTTTGTTTTGAAGCATAATGAAACAACCAATATTTAGTTTACAAATCTCAGTATATTAACTTGATAACATTTTTTAACTTCAAACTTGGTTATAAAAAATACTGGACCTATGGAATATTTATGTGATCCCATAAAACCAGAATTTTTTCCTAAATTGTTAAAAATATTACATATTGTATAAAATGGATATAAAGTTAGAAATATATAGTTTAGAAAAACTTTGTTTACAAGTTAATAAGTTTACATAATCATTAATTTTAGAATTTAAATAACTTTATTTTTATTACATTCATAAATTTGTGACAGAAATCTATAATAATAGTAATTCATTAAAAATAATTAGTTCTTATTAGAGTTTATTAATATTTTAATTAATTAAATATGAAATACTTAATCTATCAAAACATATAAATGATGCAAATATAATTATGATTTAATATAATAATTAAATAGACATAATTGATTACAATTCAGGAGTTTATAGACATTTAATTCTATTAAAAATCTATGACTGAATGATTTTGTGAAGCATTGCGAGGGCTGTGTCTCCAGCATCGGTGGGAACCATATGTCCGGCTTTGATAATCCAATAGAGAGAGAAATTCTTGTGTGTCTTAACGTAACCGCCGCTCATTTGTTGCCTCTTTGCTGTTTCCCAGTTCTTCAGTTCTGGCCATTTGAGCGAATGAACCCAATTAAGTGTTCCCAATGTGTCCACTATTAGATCCAATTGACCCGTATATACAACCACTTTGAGGTCTGTGTTGGCCAACAGGTAGTCAACATCACTGACCACATCGCGCATGAAATCAGCGGACAAGTGCTGGAATACCGTATATGACTGTTCACTCCATCTGACATTCGCTGGGATTCTACACAACAATATTGTATTACAAATTTCATAACATATTTGTTTGTCTTTATTGGGCATAACTTACTTAAGTTTTGTCTTAATGGGACCGTTCATTAATGCGTCCAAATCATCATTGTGATATTTGGCCAAATGTCTAATAACACTACTCTGAAGTGATGTGTCGTTAAATGATTTCATTTGATTCAGATATCTGGTACTCAATTGATTATTTGATCCAAAGAGTACATTATACCAGTCGATACCACCGTCGAGGGAACCGACAAACATCTCAAGACTTCCCCATTGATTGGTCGCCTCTTCATACTCGCCATTCTTCAAAGAGGTTCTAATCTCCTCGGCTTTGGCATCGATTTGACTCTTTTGGTGTCTATCGATGTATGACTTTATAAAACAATTAATTAAAAATAAAGTACTTTAATATAAATTAAAAGTAAATTATAAATTATCATGATAATCATACCAAAGTGTAGAGATACTGTCCCCACGTGGACACAGAGTCTATGGGTGAGATCCAGGAGTCGCCCAAAGCAATGCCCTTGAAATTGGCCTTGATCTCTTTGTTCTGAATGGCCCGATGCAACTCTTTGGCAAAACCGACGGTCATTTTACCGCCGTATGACTCGCAGAAGATATACAATGGGGTTGACTGGGATTCAAATGCCGAACATTATTATAACATTAAAATTAATTTAATTACAAATATTTTTACCTCAAATTCTGGTGATTTCTTATAAAAATCTTTCATTAAAGTGACCAAATCTTTGGCAATCTCATCGTTATTCTTAGTATAGGCGGCGCTGCTGTCGACATAACTAAATCCGGTTCCCACGGGATTGTCAATGAATAACAGATTCGCGTATTTGATCCATGAAGTGTTCCTCACTTTCAAACCCGAGTCTAACGGTCCGATTTCATTGAAGTTTCCAAAACCAGTGCCACTCGCACCCGGACCTCCTGTTCATCATATATATACAATGGTTTACTTTAAATAATCCATGAAGTGTTCCTCACTTTCAAACCCGAGTCTAACGGTCCGATTTCATTGAAGTTTCCAAAACCAGTGCCACTCGCACCCGGACCTCCTGTTCATCATATATATACAATGGTTTACTTTAAATTGCAATTTATTGTATTTCACTAAATTATTTTGTAATTCCAATATTATATTATAGTGTATATTTCCATAACTATACACTACATATATTTACTTTATATTTACGCTGAACGTAAACTGCTAATTATATCAATTGACAGATATGTGAAAATGTCAAGTGCCTAGGAATGTTACTCTAAATTATAAAATTAATTTCACATTTTTGCCTCCACTGGATCAACACAAAGACAAAGACTTATCGATTGATCCATTATAAAGCAATATGATTTTTTCCCAATGTATTGAAGTAATAATTAATTTTAAACTACATTTAAATAACAAACCCTGAAGCCATATAACCAGTGGAAGTCCATTGGAATTAGTATTATAGAGCCACCAAAACATGTGAGCGCCCGGACGTACGGTCACATAACCCGACGCCTCCTGATATGCCTCCACTTTATCTGTTAATTATGTCACAGAATATATAAATATAATTATTGAACAATTACTGGCCGGAATTATAAGAATATTCTTACCACAAGTGATGCACAAAACATAAGCCAAAAACATAAATGAAAATAATTTAATAAACATTTTAATATTTTAATGTAAAAACACACTTCTAAATAAAATAATAACTATTGAAAAAACTAAATGACTATTTTGTTTAATCATTTTATATAAACTCAAAGCCGTATATCATATATTTGTGACCTAATCGGCTGATATTGATACAAATTATGATAATTTATAAATTGATAAGTATTTGCCTTTGATGTCAAATTAAGTATAACACAGTTGGAGGCTTTATGGTATGTTAATTGTCCCGATTCAATCAATATCTCAAGACATTTTTGGTAAATATTTCCCAATATTTACATTATTAAATGTGGAAAATACTTTGAAATGTATACATTTTTATTAGTAATTTGCTATTTTATAAAACTATATTGTACTTGACATTGATTGTTTTTATCGTTAGAGTACCTGAGAATTCAATTGTTTTTAAATTCAATGTCAAGTGATTTTAGATTCAGCAATGATTTAAAATTTATGATTAAATAATATAATTGTATTTAATATTATTATTATGCATATAACAGAATATTCAATAATGCAATTCTATTGTAAATGTAATATAACTTAAAATTCAACTGCAAAATAGTATTTTTATTTTAACATAATAATTATTGTAACTAAAGCTATTTAAATGAAACAATTTTGTTTTGAAACATATTCCAAAAGTATTGAAGTGTTAAATTAACCTGATAAAGAATTAATAATATTAACTGTAATATGATTAGCCATAGAAAGTACTAAACACTTAAAATGATTAAAAACAAGAAAACGACTATTAGACGTATAGGAATTGAATTATTGACAAAATATTGGGTTAAATAATAAATAGCTTGAATCACAATCACCCAGTGTAAAATTCTCATCAAAATCGTATAATTAGTTTTGACATGAATGCTTTTGAATCATAATTCATAATCATCATGAATGCTATTATACGATTTTGATGAAACACAAATTCTGGTGCTTAGAAATGTGATCCTAAATAATGAGACCAGGTCTAAGATTCTAGCTACACGGCACCACCCTAGTCAGTCTAATTCATTTCCATTTATACTAATAAAATTGCAATTAAAATGTTAATTTTATATGTATTTATTCTGACATAAAATGCCAAATTACAGTAATAATTACTAATTACAGTATTAGTAATTACGTATATCAATAATAAGTTAAATATACTAATATAATAATTAAATATAAACATATGATTACAATCCGTGAGTTTTAATTCAGTTAACAAACTAAGACTCAATGATGTTCTGAAGCATTGCGAGGGCTGTATCGCCGGCATCGGTGGGCACCATATGTCCGGCTTTGATAATCCAATAGTAAGAGAAATTCTTGTAAGTCTTAACGTAACCGCCGCTCATTTGTTGCCTCTTTGCTGTTTCCCAGTTCTTCAGTTCTGGCCATTGGAGGGAATGAATCCACTTAAGTGTTCCCAATGTGTTACATATTAGATCCAATTGACCCGTATATACAACCACTTTGAGGTCTGTGTTGGCCAACAAGTAGTCAACATCACTGACCACATCGCGCATGAAATCACCGGACAATTGATCGAATACAGCGTCTGCCTGTCCGCCCCAGGTCACATTCGCTGGGATTCTATACATACAACATATTGTACCCTAATATTAATCACTTATTTGTTTAAGTGTTTAACTTACTTAAGTTTAGTCTTGATGGGACCGTTCATTAATGCGTCCACATTATCATTATGATATTTGGCCAAATGTTTAACAATATTAGTATTGAGTGATGTGTTGTTAAATGACTTTATTATTTTAAGATATTGTGTACTCGATTGATTATCTGATCCGTAGAGTACATTATACCAGTCGATATTACCGTCGATGGAATCGATAAAATTTTCCAGACTTTCCCATTGTTTGGTCGCCTTTTCATATTCGCCATTCTTCAGAGCGGTTTTCATCTCTTCTACTTTGGCATCGATTTGACTGTTTTGGTGTCTATCGATGTATGACTTTTAAAACAATTGATAGAATATATAAGGATTTAAAAATATATATAAATATAAATGTGCATGGTTAATATACCAAAGTGTAGAGATACTGTCCCCACATTGATACCGAGTCTATGGGCGAAATCCAGGGGTCGCCCAGCGCTATGCCTTTAAAATTGGCCTTGATCTCTTTATTTTGAATAGCCCGATGCAACTCTTTGGCAAAACCAACGGTCATTTTACCGCCGTATGACTCACTGAATACATACAATGGGGAGGACTAGGAGTCAAAATCCGGATGTTGTTATAATAGTGTATTTACAATAAATTTATAAATATAATAAATAAAGTGAATTATATTTTTACTTCAAATTCTGGCGATTTCTTGTAAAAATCCTTCATTAAAGTGACCAAATCTTTGGAGATCTGTGTATTATTTCTGGCAAAAGCCTTGTTATTGTCGACATAACTAAATCCGGTTCCGACGGGATTGTCAATGAATAACAGATTCGCGTATTTAATCCATGAAGTGTTTCTTACTTTCAGACCCGTGTCTAACGGACCGATTTCATCAAAGTTTCCATAACCAGTAGAACTCGCACCCGGACCTCCTACTCATCAATATAGCACAATAGTTTACTTTTAATCCAAATTTATTTTATTTTCCTAAACTACTTTCAATAAAAAAAATTAATGGTTCCTATAACTGTTTATCTAGATAATTATTTTTATACTAAAACCGAAAATTAATTTTATACCATAGGTTCATATACTCACTCTTACGATATATTTAATTATTACTTAATTGTTAATGTATTTAATAAACTAACCTAGAAGATATATAACCAGCGGCAGTGCATTTGAGTTATTGCTAGAATTTGCGTTCAAAAGCCACCAAAACATGTGTGCGTCCGGACGTACGCTCACATAACCCGACGCCTCCTTATATGCCTCCACTTTATCTGTTCATTATATCACAGAATATAGAGATTATTATTGATTTATTTTTGGTCACGTTTTGCAAGAATATTCTTACCACAAGTAATGCACAAAACATAAGCCAAAAACACAAACGAAAATAATTTAATAAACATTTTAATGATTTGATGTCTAAATACACAAAATTTAAAAGTTTCTAAATGAATGACTATTTTTGTTCAATCAAATCAATATATATTCTCAGATTAAGGGTCCAAACGCACCAATCGGCTGATAATAGTGTTGTACATTATTACAATTTATATTGGTAAGTTAGTACCAATAAATTGATAAGTTTTTTGTATTTTATATTTTATAAAGCATAACACAGTTGGATACTTTATGCTATTGTAATTGTTTTAATTTTATCATGATTTTAAAAAATTATTGGTAAATATTTTCTAATAAAGAAATTTATTAGAAATTTATCTTTATTTACATTATTTAATGTGGAAAATACTTTGAAATATAAACATTTTTACTAGTAATTTGCTATTTTACAAAACTAACTTACTGTATATTTTTATCGTAAGAATATCTAAGATTTTAATTGTTACTAAATTCAATGTCAAGTGATTTTTGTTGAAATTTTGGATTCAGCAATAATTCATCTTATACATTATACATCTGTACATTATGTGAAATATCTATAAACATGATACTAATATTTTGAATTCAATTTCAATCACATATTCAATATTACAATTCTATTGTAAATGTTGTATAACTTAGGATTCAACTGCAAAATACTATTTATTTAATTATAAATAAAAGTTATTTAAATATTCTTGTTTTGAAACATATTTCGAAAGTATTGAAGTGTTAAATTACCTGATATAAATACAATCTGTAATAGGATTAGCCATAGATAGTACTAAACACTTAAAATGATTAAAAGGTCGGTAAAAACTATCAAACGTATATTAAATAAATTATTCTGTGTATTGTGTAATATAAATGTATTACACTTTACAATGTATTATAATGTATAAAAATATTTTAGAATGGTTAGATTTACAATTGTAATATAAATATATTTAACTAATTGCAATTTAAATATTAACTTTATTTGTATTTATTTCGATATAAAATGTCAGGTTTTGATAATTAAAGTATCAATAAAAATTTAATCATAATAATGTAGTAATTAATTTGTAATTCCATATAATAATTAAATATGATCAATTGTAATTAAGCAGTTTATGAATATTTAATTCAGTTAACAAACTAAGACTGAATGATTTTGTGCAGCATTGCAAGGGCTGTATTGCCGGCATCGGTGGGCACCATATGTCCGGCTTTGATAATCCAATAGAGAGAGAAATTCTTGTATGTTTTAAAGTAACCGCCGCTCATCTCTTCCCTGTTTGCGGTTTCAAAGTTTTTCAGGTCTGGCCATTGGAGTGAATGAACCCAATTGAGTGTTCCTAATGTGTCCACTATTAGATCCAATTGACCCGTATATACAACCACTTTGAGGTCTGTGTTGGCCAACAGGTAGTCAACATCATTGACTACATCGCGCATGAAATCAGCGGACAAGTGTTCAAACACATCATTGGACTGTCCGCCCCACGTCACATTCGCTGGGATTCTATACATATAACCAGGATCGCCATAAAATAGAGAGAGATTAATTTTATTATGACGTGGTTATTGAATCACCAAGTTAAATTGTCAACTATCATTCAAAATAATCGTTACTAATTATAAAACAGAGTTTCCCCTAAATTTATAAAAGTTTGTATTAAACTATTAGAATTAAATAATAAAAGTTATATTTAAGTTCAAACCCCACTTTTGATATTAGTGTATACTATATATGAGTAGCACTTGAATAGAGTATGAATTACACAGCAATTGTTTTATAAAATAGGCCGATACGGCCTATCAATGGCATCGATGCATATAACATATTGTATTGCAATATTATTCATTTATTTGTTATAAAGATTATAACTTACTTAAGTTTGGTCTTAATGGGACCGTTCATTAATGCGTCCAAATCATCATTATGATATTTAGCCAAATGTTTAACAATATTACTACTGAGTGATGTGCTATTAAATGACTTCATTTGATTCAGATATCTGGTACTCAATTGATTATTTGACCCGTAGAGCACATTATACCAGTCGATGCCGCCGTCGATGGAACTGACAAACATCTCAAGACTTCCCCACTCATTGGTCGCCTCTTCATACTCGCCATTCTTTAGAGAGGTTCTGATCTCTTCGGCTTTGGCATCGATTTGACTCTTCTGGTGTCTATCGATGTATGACTTTATAAAACAATAGAATATTAAAGGTTGATTAAAAATATACATAAATATGAATGTGCATGGTTAACATACCAAAGTGTAGAGATACTGTCCCCACGTGGACACTGAGTCTATGGGTGAGATCCAGGAGTCACCCAAAGCTATGCCCTTGAAATTAGCCTTGATCTCTTTGTCCTGAATGGCCCGATGCAACTCTTTGGCAAAACCGACGGTCATTTTACCGCCGTATGACTCGCAGAATATGTATAATGGGGTGGACTGAGAGTCAAAAGCCGAACGTTGTTATAATAGAGTATTTACAATGAATTACTAAATATAATAAATAAAATGAGTTATATTTTTGCCTCAAATTCTGGCGATTTCTTGTAAAATTCCTTCATTAAAGTGACCAAATCTTTGGCGATCTCTGTATTATCCTTAGTATAAGCCCTGCTATTGTCGACATAACTAAATCCGGTTCCGACGGGATTGTCAATGAATAGCAAATTCGCGTATTTAATCCATGAAGTGTTCCTCACTTTCAAACCCGAGTCTTGCGGTCCGATTTCATTGAAGTTTCCATAACCGGTAGAACTCGCACCCGGACCTCCTGTTTAACAATTTATTGACAATTGTTTACTTTTAATCTCTAAACTATATTGTAATACAATGTAATATTTCATATTTGTAATACAAATAATATTAATGGTATTACACTATTTGCCATTACTTTATATTTACTTAAAAAGTGTCAATCATATCAAACTGACAGATGTGTTTAGATGTCAACACATATACCGATAATTTCTCACTCAAAGGTTTACTTATATTGAAATTAGTTGATGTAAACATTTATTATCGCTTAACACAATATTTCCGAGTAATTGTACATGTAAACTTGTTTAAGAGTAATTGTTTACATAATTGTACTTAATTTAACCATTAATATCTATATTTATATTATATTTAATTATCAATGAATTGCAAATGTATTTAATGGACAAACCCTGAAGCCATATAACGAGCGGCAATGCATTCGAGTTATTGCTAGAGTTGGCGTAAAATAGCCACCAAAACATGTGTGCGTCCGGACGTACGCTCACATAACCGGACGCCTCCTCATATGCCTCCACTTTATCTGTTATTTATATCAAAGAATATATATATAAATTTGTATACTGTATATATTAATATCAATTAAATTTCTATTAGGTATAATAAAAATATTCTTACCATTACTTATGAATAAAACATACGCCAAACACATAAACGAAAATAATTTAATAATCATTTTATTATTTTGTTGCCTAAACACACAAAATTCAAAATTTACTAAATGACTGACTATTTTGTTCAATCATTATATTTAGACTTAAATCCGTAGAGCATATGCACTGATCGGTTGATAATGAGAAACATTTTGACAGTTTATAAATTGATAAGTTTTATCTTTGTTATCAGTTATTAAGCACAACACAGTGGGAGACTTACTTGTGATCACTGATCATGTTTTTAAATTTTATTGAGACCTTTTTAAAGACATTGTCAGTAAATTACAATGTAAAATGCATTAAAATTTAGACATTTTTACTAGTAATTGACGAAAACTATGTGTTATATTTCTGTTATCGACTACTTTATTGCAACATATAATACCTGAGAAATCAATTGTTTTTAAAATTAATGTCAAGTGTTGGACCTTTGGATTCAGCAATAATGAATTTTATACATTATTTCACACTAATTTTTAAAATTGTTGAATTTATCATGTATAAAATAACGTTTGTAATGTAGATTTAATAATATTGTTTAAAATGCCATATAACTTAAGACTTTACTAAAAAATACCATTTAATTTTAAACAAAGCTATTTAAATAAAATAATTTTGTTTTGAAACATATTTTGTATACAATCTTTTAAACAAATAATTAGTGAAGTATTAATTAACATGATTAAAATTCATTACTATCAGACTGTACAGGTACATAGAGAGTACTTCAAATGATTGAATGCACAATAAAAACTATTAAACTTATAGAAAATAAATTGTTATAATGTATATTATAGTTTAATATTTGCAAAATAAACTAAATTATTTCTTTATAATATTTAGAAAATTATAATTACAATATTACCACTAATTCTTTTTGGCAAAAATACCATGTTATAGTAATTATTTATAGCAACAACAAGTTAGTAAATTAAAGAAATAAGTAATTTTTAAAAGAATATACTGAAATTTTAACTAATTAATTATATAGTTTTAAATGAAATATTTAATTCATCAATAAATTTTAAATTATATAAATATAGTTAAATATAAGCATTATTATATTCATGATTTATCAATGTACGTAATGTGAAACCCAGGGCCCTGTATTTTTAATCGTTGATCTCTAGCGCTTGGTTAACAAGAATTGTAAGAATTGGGCAAAACTAATGACAATATTGGCGATACTATTGGGCTTTGTATCGACCTATAAGTGCTCTTATTTATTATAATTATGGTTTATTATTAGAAATGAATTTAATTAATAAATTGACTTTAAAATACATTTATTTATAAAATAAAAGTAAATAATAAC